GGTAAATATTTTATATATTTCGAAAATGAGTCAGAATTAAAATGTTGGTAAACATTCTCAAGTCTTAATAAATCATCATTAACAGCAGGAAATATATTATAATAACATTCTATTACATCACTTTCATTGTAAGAAAATTCATTATGCATGTAAATACTTGAAAGTACTAAAACTTCGTTTATCTGCCGATCTCGATTATCAATTATAGTTTGTGACATTTTCGAATGTTCACGAATTATTTATTTTGTAATAATTTACATCAAACTCTTTCTGCAAACTGAGTAACTTCTAGTCAAACTTCTTAGTCTAATCGTTACCGACACTTCTACTCTCTCTCTCGGTTTCAAAATCTAGTCATCTTATCCATTTTATATACAGGGTGTCCCGTAACTCCTCGAACACCCGGAAATGGGGGATTGCTGGGGTGACTCTGAACAACTTTTTCCTCTTCCAAAATACAGTTTGAAGCTTCGTTTTTGAATTATTAATAAAAAACACTGGCCAATTACAGCGTGCGTAGAGCCTGCGCTCAGGGGCGAAGAACAGAGGCTATTTTCAGACCTTCGCTATTTTCTTCACGATTCCGACTAATTGCAGTTTTTTCAAAAATTTATACAAATGTCAGAATGACGGCAAAAACCCATTTCTATAAGCCTTATAAAAATAGCGGTGCAAAGTCAAATTTTTTTGACAGCGATCGATAACCGAAAAGTGACACGTACGCATTTATTCGATCGCGCGCGGGTGAGCCTCTGTTCTTTGTCCCTGAGCGCGAGCTCTACGCGCGCTCTGATTAACCAGTGTTTTTCGTTAATAATTCAAAAATGAAGCTTCAAACAACATTTTGGTAAAGGAAAAAGTTGTTCAGAGTCACTCCAGCAACCCCCCATTTCCGGGTGTTCGAGGAGTTACGGGACACCCTGTATATGAAGGTGTATATTTATAGTTACGCCTATGATTCAATTTAACCTTATAATTCAAATTACTGACCCATTTTTAACAAAATATATTTATGATTTTCAATAATAAGTAATATACATATGTATAAGAGGTGTAATATTTTTGTTTTATCACAAATGTAAAGAAGTA